TCGGAGTTGTCCTCAGAGTGAAATTCCCTTGCATCTCCATTGTCTCGACGTGAAGATCCTGCACCTTGGCCTGTGCAAGGTCTGAAGGGAATCTGGGGACAGACGACGTGGCTGAGGTTAGACTGGCATGGTCGGGGAAAGGGGTACACCCAGTCTGAGCACCGGGAGCGTTGGATACATGGGCATGTTGGAGAGCGTCGTCCATGTTCCCCGAGTCGAAATGCACCATCTTTGGGGTCCTCTGTCCATGATGATCCTCCTTCAACAATATTGACACCTCATCTGACACATGTCCAGCCTTTCCAGGCTTCATAAGTGTCGTCGTTAGTTCCTGCGTATTGGATCAGGTCCATTGTGCTCCAAGGTTGAGCGTGGTGTCATGCTTGATACATGAAGGTAATTGGGTATCTGATGGCATTGTTGTTGTCAGATCTGTCTTGCTGGGTAACAGAGTATGCACCCTCCTGTTTGTAGATTTATTGAGGATGTATGTATCTGCTCCCGGAGATGTCAGAACATCAGAGGATGAGAACGTACGAATGGGAGCCCCATCTAAGCTTCCCAAGTCCAAATTTTGCGTATGCGACCCTTCCCACAACAAATTACCTCCCATCCCAGCCATCAACACCTCATCAGAGTTGCATTTGCGAGACTTGAGGCTCAAGTGCGTCATCACCATCTCATCATCTTGAGATCAGCGCAATCGCAAGGTTGAGTATTGCTGTAAAGTCAGGGATTCTTCAAGGAGCGGTGCGGGAGTTGTTGACTTTGTAAAGTCGATAGGACGATATTGATCGTGGTCGAGGACATGAGGGGTGAGAATGGAGGGAGAGGATCATGGTAGAGGGCCACCAGCGAGGGCAGGAGATGGTTTTGATGTTGCCACATTTGGCAACAGCTGTTCAGTTACCAGCCGGTTACTCATCGAACTGATAGCCATCAGACCGGTAGCCATCGGACCGGTAACTGGCGCTGATGTGGCCTTGACACTTGGCATCATGTCGAATGTGTTCTCCAACACTTTCGGCCACTATGGACGATGATATCATGCAGATTTTGGCTCTTCTAATCTGCTTGCAATGCCAAGGGCGATCGGAGAGATGGTCACTAGTCTAATAGGCCCCGGCAAGGCTCCGCTTCGCTCTTGTGATTTTTGGGGGAGGAAGGGAGGCATAGGAGTGGCTGCAGGTGACCTGAGAAAGAAACTGCTCAAGAGTGAGCAAGCTAAATCGATGATCCGGAAAACTAGAGTGCAAGAGGCAGTGTCTCCTTCTCTTTCCAGGCTGCCATCGCCCACGCCAGCTGAAGGTAGTCCAGCTGAAGGCCAGCAACGATGGGTCAAGAATACATTCTTCATGAATACCCACTTGTATGTTCTGCTTCAAGGTGCATTGGTCGGATATTCGGTCTCAAAGCTTCTGATGCTATTGTCACGATAGGTCATGTATACCTGTCTTTTAACATTTCTAACCAGCTTGCAACAGAGGGGCCACAAAGTAAAGCTCCCTTCATTGTTACTGGACTTTCACCTCGGGCTACCGCTTTCATCCAGAGCATGAGCAATCCTAATGCGAATGTGAGCCACTTTTATGAGTTGATGCTTGAATCTTGCAAATGCGTGTTTGATAATGAAGTGGAGCAGGCAGCATTTGAAGAACAGATGCAGCTTATGTTTGGAGTCAAGGTGCGTCTTCTTCACTCATTAGGATTCGATGGTATGGCTGATAACTACCCTTCAGGAAGCCTACAAGATCTTTACCAACAACAAGCTAATCAGATCGATTATCAAGCAGGTAAGAGCTGTTTCTTGATGATGATATGTGTTTTACGTGTCCGACAGGTCCAAGTAATCCTTGCCAATGATGTGAATGAGGTGCTCTATAGGTGCTAGAGCAATGCCTCATCCTGCAAGTACTTCAGGGAGAGGTGGTGGTATGAGTCAAAGGGTGGATTGCTGAGGTAATCTACTTCTAAACTCGGACTAAACTATCTGTAACTACTAAATCTGGCTAACTGAATATTACTATGAAGAAAACATAATCCGAGTTCAAAACGGGGTACACCCCATCACCAACTCCAAGAGTCAAGAGCTAGAAACTTTGAAGTGGGAGCGAAGTATTCCTTCACTCGATGCAAGACTACCTGAACAGTCCACATAATGCTGAAAAGGTGCTTGGGTCGGATGAGAATCTGTTCCGTATCAACTGGGTAAATTCTTTCGACACTTTTAGATTGTAATATGGAATTGACGGGATGGGATTAGCTGCCAGAATCCAAGAAGATGATGATGCAGTTAATTGGGAAGGATGATTCCAGCTTTGATAATTTAGAGATATCGACTGGGCAATGGCAGGCATACATTAAATCCTATGTTCAGGTAAGCTATGATTATTTCTTTAATTGCTGTCTATGATCCTTACCTTGCTAAAAAGACTGGTCCGACCACTGATGTTCCCCAAATGAAGATCAGGCAACTGTTCCTATGAAAGTGAGTTCAGCCTCTCCTTGAAACATGTCGGTTGCTCACTTGTTCTTTACTAGAAATCTACCAACAACTATTCCAACTGAAGCAAACATCAAGACAAGTGATGGCTTGAAGATCAAAGTGTGTGTTCATACGTACTGTCTGTTCTTCGTGTCAGATTCGGAGGATTATTTGCCAATCTTCATACCCTCTTCTGATACTTCGAGACCGTTAACCCAAGCCTACCTTAAGAAATGGTGTGAGTGGTTGGGGGACATTGACGTCTGGGAAAAGGTGTGCTTTTGCCTCGTTTCTCAAGGTCGGGTGTATACTGACACTTGAAATGCAGAGAAAGGAGGAGAATGCATACCATGAGAGAGAGAGAGAAATAATAATACAAGAGACGGAAGGACTCCGGCAAGAGGTGGAAGCAGATAGGTGAGAGACTGAAAGGAGAAGATAGAGATACAACTGATGATCACAAGGGAGAAGGAGGAAACAAGAAGGTTGCAGAAGGAAATTGACGACTCCGAATGGGAGCTGGCATTGCATATGGACTGGTTGTCCTCTTCACGGCCTAGCATGATTTGATAACACCTGTTCTCTCCAAGTTTCCATCTCGTTTTGTTATCCCACTGCATGCTCTTGCCTTTGTTTCAGTTAATCATGTCGCTATTCTGGTTCCTAGTGTTCCTTTCTTGTATGTCTTTTGTTGTGATAGTATCTGTGGATGTACTTCCTGATCCATGTTTTTGAGCCCGAGTTTATCTGCTTCTGCATCAAATACTCCTGCGCAACAACCAATCATCTTCACGGTCAAAGTTGAGACTCATAATCATTGTTATGAGCTCTGCAAAGTGTCTGATAAATGGCTTGCCAGGCTAATCCTTTGCTCAAACCTGATAGAGACCAGTAAACGATTTTACATTCTTTATATTATTTATTTCAGAAAATAATACATATGACACATTGATAATAACATGAAGATGCAGTACTGTAGTTGCTAGAAACAAAGGGAACAAGAGGCAGAGTAACGGAGTAACATAGACAATGCATTGGGAACCAAGAATCAATGGGCTCATCAGAACTCGACATCAGATTTGGGCTCGCATTCAATAAACGACAGTACATCAGCCAGAAATGGTCAAGAGGATAGGAGATCATGGTGGTGGGAAAGTGTGACTGGTCTTCATCTCCCCACCATGATCAAACCGCGCACGTCCTCTCCGCATGCACATACACAAAGACCTTCCGTTCCCAAAACACAGTCCCCCCTTCACCTCATTACTAGTTTTCTCAAGCATCAACATAATCCTGATGAAGGCATGTGCTTGTTTGGTCAGGGTTTCCTTGGAGCCATACCAATATAGCTTGCAAGATGAAGGGAGGCGGAGACAGAGGGAGTAGAGCACGGAGGGATCAGTGGAATGAGCATGGGACATAGGTGGATGGGAAGGAAAGAGTATGGTGTGCAGCCTTACACGACTAGAGAGACAAGAAACCAACCTCGCACTGTCAGTCTTGCACAATGCAGTGTCGATTCCAACAGCCAACAAGCCCCTCACCATGTCATCGAGTGCTTGCATCTGAAGGGGATGTGGACCTGACTCTTTGGACAAGGGAGCTGAACTATATCCATGTTCAGTAGAGCCGTCGGTCTTTCCACTGACCATTCCAGCCCCAGGCATTCAGACTCACATACACCATCCCAGGTCTGAGAGCCCTGGCCCCAATCCTCCTCAGCTTATCCCTCTCTTCCTGGGTATTCAGAAATCGACACAAGGGATTTGACTTGAGAGGCATGCGGCAGTGTGGCTGGCATTGGCGTTGGGGATTAGTTCGATAGCATGGTCCCATGGTTTTCGTGGGGGTAACTCGTCAAAGTTCTCCTTGGCGAACACGTCCTCGAAGTCCCTGTACTCGGCGGGTACTATTTCCTCAAAGGATTTCGTCTCCTTACCAGCATTTGCCTGGGCAGCTAGTTCGTTGGCTTTAGTACCCATGGCTCGTACGTGAAATGCTTCCTCAAAATCAATTACTAAGATAGTGTCCCCTTCTTCGTACTCTTCCCAACGGGAGGAGGGATCCGTATCGGGGAGGGAGAAAGGGATCTTTTGGCAAGTGCAGCGGGCCAAAGTGACCGCCCCCGTATCCCAATCGATCAGCGGGTTATGCCTTTGTAGCCAATCATGTCCGAGGAAAAGGGGGGTGGAGCCTAGGTCCACTACGGCTAGTTCGATCCGCTCCATGTGGTCTCCAATGCGTAGCCGTACTTCGGCATATTCAGTGATGTCGCCCCCTTTGTTCCGAGTGCCATCAGCATTATAGACCGGAACGGGTCGGGCCGCCTTTTTGAGGTTTAGAGCATGACTATGGGCCCAGGCGCGGTCTACAGAACTACCGGTGGCTCTGCTGTCCACTAGCGCTTTTACGGAGTGCACCTCCCGGGTGTCTAGGGTTTCCAACTGTACGGTAATCGATACATTGCGACCTTTCCTTCCTCGTATGTACATGGGTGGTTTCGTAAGATCCTCCATCCACTCCCACTTACTCCTGGCTTCTGCGGCCGTCTCTGGCTGCTCCTTGAGCGCCTCCCATAATGCGGTCGTCACTTCCCCTTTACGTCGGGGGTGCACCCATCGGGCGAGGGTGGCGAAAGCGGCCGCCTTGTTGGTAGTGAGTCGTAGAGCCCTCCGGGTCCAATGCCTCCCGAAAGGCTCGTAATAAGTGTCCAGGACCGGCTTTCGAACCTCATCTCTGGGCGCAAGTTTGGGGGTCACAGAAGACTTCCCCTTCTGTTCGACGGTCGGAATGTCGGACCGTAGGTGTGCTTCCTCGTCTTCGACTTCTTCCATGGAGACGTGGGGAGTTGTACTCGTGAGTGGCAGTTGGTCACCGGGCCGGTCGATAGGGCCCCTCGGCGGCACTTGGTCACCTTCTGACGAGTTGGTGGAGGAGGGCTCGCTGCCCTGTGTTCGGCCCTGGCCAAGGGCGCTTGTGCGTGGCGTTGTAACCTCCACTGTGATCCGGTACTTATCCTCATTCCTAACGCCGGCGGTACTCTCGGAAACTCTAGGCAGACGCACACATATTGGCTCGTCAAGGGGGTCAGCATCGTTTGCGGATGAGTCCACTACTAAATGTAGGTGGTCCCCTTGAGTCCCAGCCTCAGCTGCTTTTCTGCCACTGGCGGGAGGAACAACCCACCCTACATCTGGACGAGAAGGCCCACCCACCGGAGTCGTCGGCCGATTCTCCTGGTTGGGGCGACGACCACCACGTCTGGCATCCATCTTGTCCTGACCTGAGGCGCTCGCTGGGTGCTCCAGAACTTTCCCCGTTCGGTCAGGCAGGGGTGTCAGAGGTGGACCGGCCCCTAGGGGTTCATTGTCCATCGCTGGCTGCGTAGGACGGCAGAAATCCCCTCCTACGCCATTGGCATGCTGCGATTCTTCATCCTTAGTTTCTTCTACTGGTAACGCGGTGAATAGATTGGTATATTGTTCAAACGGAGTACCTACATACGTAGCATAAGTCCGACTAGTAGTACAGGAGCGCGCACCAGATGAAACTAAGTCCTTGGCTGACGCCGTCGAATCACTTATTTCGACGCCGGCTTGTCTTTTGACGACTTCTCCTCCTTTACCTCCTCGACTTTCGTTTCTGATCCTAGTTCTTCCTTCTCGGCTTCAGCAAGCAATTGGCAGAGGCGCGCGGCGTTGGGCTTTTTCTTGCGAGGTGGGAGTTTGACGGGGAGCCACTTGGATTTATCCGTCGGGCATTTATGGTCGCGGCTCCACCCGGTGTTCCCACACTTGAAGCACCGCTTGTCGGACTGCAGCTTGTCGATCTCCATTGGCTGCCCTGCACCCCCATAGGTTGTCCCCGTGGCATCCTTCCTATCGCCACTCGACCCGCTTCCCTTTGATTGGTTTTGATTGCCTTGACTCGAACCGCCTTGGTTCGAGGAGGGCTTACTGGCGAGTCCCTGGGCCACGTCATATCGATAGTTGGCGTTGATCCTCAGTACTCGCGCCTTCCATTGTGCGTAGGTTGTGGGGCGCTCATTGTCCCCATGCATAACCATTTTGCGCACCGTCGGCCTGATTGCCGCTTCCACCACTTCGAACATCTGCTTCTCATCGCCAAATTCTCCGCACTTGTGGGCGAGTCTCTCGAACTTCGCGAAGAATTTGACTGCGGTTTTGAACTCCGACTGCCGCATCTTCTTCCATTCTGCCTTCCAGATCACGAGCTCTGCAACTTCCCGGAATTCTACCGTGAGGTCATGGGAGAACTCATCCCACGTGGGGAACCTCCAGTGCCCCCGGTCGTCTCGGTAGCGGTAATACTGATCGCCCCACCAGTCCTTGGCCTTCTCCCGAAGGTACCCTTGCGCGAATGTAATTCGATAAGGGTTTTGCCCCTGGTCATTCATGGTGAAGTGCAGGGGAAAAACCTGAAAGTACATCTCGCAGTGATGGAGGAACCGATTGATATCCGTGGATTCCCCGGTAAAGTACTCGGGCTGCATGATCAACTTGGGTTTTACGTCGTTCCAAGGGTTGTTGTCCTTCCCCGACACTAACGCCCACGGTGGTATTGGGTCCGGAGGCGACGGTGCCAGAGGAGGTACTGGCGGGTTTGGCGGTCAGGGTAGCGACCGTAATCGATAGTTTTCCCCGGGTGGAGGGTAGTCTCCCGGGTATGCGGGTCGTCGCAGTGGTTGAGGCGGCGGCTGAGGTGGGACTGTGGACTGTTTCCCCTTGTCCGAGGGTCCTGCACTGGGGTCGTCCATGTCTTCGTCGTCGGGCCCCGTGCCTGCCCAGAACTCCTCAGTTTCGAGCGGATGGGGCATTGGTTGTGGCCGTCGGTAAGCCGCGCATTCCTGTTTTGGTTGATCAGGATTCGCCAGGTTCCACACCAAGGCGGCCTGATGCCACGTCTCCACCTCCAAGATATTCTTTGCAAGGTAGACATCTCCCAGCATCTTCGCGGTTCGATAGTCTTCTCCCGCCTCCGTGAGGAGCCACTGGGAGTCCCTTTCCATATCTTCCATCATTATCTCGTATAGCCCGTGCCACGGGAGTATGTTAAATATGGTCGGCCGGGGGTGTAGGGGGTGAACCAGGAGGGTTCGGACTGCCGTCATCACCTCCGTCTCGAGGGCACTGTTGGGCGGTCGACTCGGCATCCTTGGCCTCCTTCCTCTCTCTGGCGATGCGGTCGATCTCCTTGTTTCTCCTCCATCTCCCAATGTCTGAGTCCGGATCGCTGATCTCGGCCTGGTAGGAGTTCCAGGCTCTTCTTCTCGCCTCGAGGTCGGTGCCCGCTCTTCGGGCCGCCCCTGTGTATCGGACGGCGGCGGCATGGATTCGGTTGTCCACCTCGGCGTCGGTGGCGTCGGGTTCAAGTGGTAAGTCCCACCAACCTCCGGGCCCTTGGAGGGCATCCTCTTCAGCACGTCGAATGCATGCGTCATGTGCTCTTCCTCGCTCCATTCGGGCCTCGACTTCTGGGGCGAGCCGGGCATCTCGAGGGAGTCCGAGGGACTCGACGTACGTGTGATAGAGGAGGGGCCATGGACGCTG